CTGTTAGGAACGACATAGGTCTAGAGAATCTGCCAGATGGACCAGATGGCCTACAAAGGCCCCCTCCAGACCTGTTTTTCTACGATCTTCCATTCGAAAGGAGAAAAGAACAAATTAAGCAATCTCTAGGAGAGATGCTGCCATAGCACCTGAGAAGCCTCTAGTCTATCTTGCAGTTTATCTAGTTCTTCTCTTTGAGTCAGCAATGTTAATTAAAATATCTTAAAGAATTTGGACAGCAATTATAAACCTTTACAATAGCCAGCCTCAGGCATTCCACCTAACAAAAATAATGTTTCATATTTTATGTTGTGCTTTGCATTCCTCATGGATTAAAGTAATTTTCAGGCTGTCTTCCCGTTTCAACATGTACCATATTTACTCTTTCAATCACCAGCTGAAAGTACTTGATTACCAGTCACCTGCCTAACAGTTCTACATTCAGTAAGCAGAACGGCCTCTTTATCCACTCTAACAGGAAAATCTGGAGTCTACGCAGGAACAAATACCATACATCATTTCAAGAATGCAAAAAAAAAAGGCTCACAGAAATTGTTTGTGCCATGTAACGTACACTGAAGGATCCCTCCATTCTCTGCAAGTCCCCATAAGCGGGAGACTAACCACGTAAATCATTGCAGGATCACTCATAGGCACCCAGTTTCTGACATGAATGATGCCTGGGAACTTTTCTCCAGGATACTGAAAAACTTGGGTCTATACTCAGAAGTTAATTTATCTACTTGATAAAAGGATATTAAGCCTGCTGGAATTTGAACATACAGTTCCTGGGAATCTAGACAGTGGAAGCCATTTCCAAATCCCTAGGCAAGAGGTTGCTGAAAGGAAGCTGCTGCTCCAAGGCCCAAGTTGATCCTAACTTCAGAATCCACAAAACGCTCAAGAGAAACATTACATCCCTCTCCACACGATTTATCTTCGTTCAGAAATACTCCAGTATGCAAAAGTTACCCCTTATTTTTACTGGATATTGCTGTTTCTAAATACAGATTAGATTTTAAAAGTATATATTGTCAAAGAAGAGGAGGAAAGTTCTTCAGCAAATGAAGCATTTTCATCTTATCTGGAGGGGAAAACATCTAGTAAATCTCGACAGAGAAATGCGACTTCTCCCTCCCCTGGGCTGCTCCTTTCCCCTGCAAAAAAAAAAAAAAAAAAACCACACCCACCACCTACTACAGAAAACCAGCTACTGCAACCACTAACATTTCTCTACCCTCCCCCAGTGGACACATGAAACACATCTTCCTGTTTGCTTTCCTTACCCAGGCAGAGATACTGATGCAACCTCTCCTCACCGAAAAAGGAAGTGCCTCTATCTCAGTCTGCATCTTTATCCCCCTCAGCAGCTTGACTAAGCAGATTAAAAGCAAAGACAAACGCACACTTGAAGGCAGTATCAAAGGCAAAACAAACAAAAAAAAAAAAACACAACTGTCACTTCAACGTGAAAGGAGCAATTGCTTAGAAATCAGTATAGGCTGGAAGAAAGCAAAAATGCCAGATACGCCATGACTCAGTAACTCCTTCATGCAGCCGCTTACTTCCAACCCCCTACAAAGACGATCGCTGTGGCTGTGCAGAGGATGCAGCGCCCTCCCAAGCCCGCATCCCCATGGGAAGACTGAGAGGCTGCTTTCCACTCTGCCACATCCCCCCTCCCATTCTTTCTCTCTTTTCTTGCCCACCCAAAACAAGGGCATCTGCTGGATTCTCCCATCTCACCCACCAACAAGGTCAAATCTAAAACTCGGCAACTACCAGTCTTAGAAACATGTAGTAAGTCAAAGCAAGAACCCACTACTTGTGCTTGGGGGTGAAAGGAAACTATTCAGCCAATGGAAATATTCTACAAACAAGAGAAAGCTCAAAAGGAGGAGAACAATGACGCAGCGATGACGAGAAAGTGCGCTCTTAAGTGAGAAACATAACAGGAAAATACAAGTAAAATTAACTGTTTGATATACATTCCTGGAAGCTTCCAGAAAATTATTCCTGAGACTGTCACAAATTACCTGTCATCAAAAAAGAGTCAATTTTAATTCATTAGTTAAAATAGAAATTAGGTTATTTCATACATCGTATTTGGAAACTGCAGTGTGTAAACTACTACCTGTTTTTCCACAGAGCTAGACAAGCTGTTAGAAAAGAGAAAGCAAAACATTTCTTGACACTTCTCGTACTAGCCCCCTGACTGACTGGGAGATGTTCAATTCTGCCTGTAAAATAATCAATAAAATACAGCTCCAAAGGATAAAAATATTTTTTTTTGCTAATCTTCCGGTTATTTGTCACAAAAGGAGAATAAGTACATCCAGACTTATAAAAGAAAAAAAAAGACCTTATGGGAAAAATACAAAAAGAGCGGCACGTTGCGTTACAGCGAGGAGTTCTTGTTCAAGGAAGACAAGACAACACTCCCAAATTCACGTCCTCTGGCTTGTTTCCTCCAGAGCAGATGTGGAGACTCAGCACTTCATATCAGTAAGGAAGCAAATGCACTGCAATTGATCCTGTGAAAAATGCACTTCTTAACATACATGAAAAATAGTGAAGAAGAACTGATCAACCAACAGAGCGTATTGTAAATTTCCTTAACACCACAATGCTACCCATCATTTGTCACGGACACTTGTTTTAAATCTTTAACTATTTCCTCAATTTTCTTTGAACAAGGAGGTCTAAGACGACTACTGTGATGGTCCCCTGCAGTCTCAAAATCTAAACACAGCTCTCAGTTATGTATAAGGCCACAGCAACCACTTCAGAAATGATTACCAGTTTGTGCGTCAACTTTAGCAGCCTACGTATTTAGGAGGTGCTGAATGAACGCTCACAGGGGTGCTGAAGTGAACTATGTCTCAAAACATCTCACTAAGAACTTAATATCACAGGCCACATTTGAAAATATGCGTTGTCCATACGACTGGCCCAACGACCCGACTAATGCGTAAGGACATCCATAGATAAAGCCATGGTAAGGATTTCAGCTTCATATGGGTATTTTGGCTTTAGAATTTGGAAGAGGTATTTTACAGGCACAGGGAAGTCAGATTGAAGGTAAGAGTAACCTAAAGCGAGGAAAGATTACCTTGCTGCAATGTAAGCCAATGCTTTGAATGACCCAAACGTTAAAAAAAAAAAAAAAAAAAAAGGAAGAGGTATATTGCTTAGGATATAAAACAGATAAACTGCAAAAGCCAGCTCCTAACAACACAACTCCCCACTGAAATGATCATCCTGCCCTTTTCTGTGACAGCTCCGAAAGAGCGAGAGCTCAGCCCAGGCTTCTGATAGGACCACAGGGATACACCCAGCCTTGCACTGCTTCCCCACCCCCAGCGTTGCCCAAGAATATTTTATTCCCGGGCCTGCAACAGTATGCTTACAGCAGAATTTGTTCTAGTCATTTTTGTTTGGTTTGCCAGAGGAACCCACTCTCAGCCTGCCTAATGCAGAATATATCTTTCATACAACTTGAAAAGATTGGAGCCACGTGAGATTTTCATCTGTGATAGCTGGATTGTCACAGAAACTCCATTACCACCTTGCTTCTCCGTTTCTGAATATTTGGTTTTTTGCGTCGAACCCTATGAGTTTGAGATTAAAAAGCCTGCTGGGAGTAATTGAGCGTACATTACGGAGTTTACAGGAACCCCGTGCATTAGCCTTACAAAGAATGTTATAACAATACAATTGCAATGCAAACTACTTATTCTCTGTACTTCCACCTTCTCTTCCCCTTAAAACGTTTCCATTGTTTACAGTGCATGTGAGAGTATTTGCTGACCTAGTATGGCCGGTTCCCAAGATTTTGTGTCATACAGTATTTCATGACTTTCTCAAAATCCTAACTCTTGTGAAGCTGTGAAAATCTCAGCTTGCTTCTGAAGCTAGGTTGTAGCTTCAGAAACTCCCTAAATCAGCGCAAACCAGGTCTGCCAACAAATGAAGCAGTCCCGCCTTCTCACCCCACTCAGCTGCTCATTTCTGCCTCCCCTTCTGTGGGTGCAACCACTGAAGTGAATCACATTTGGGAATACATCCACTTTAGCTTTTAGCTGTGCTAAATCTACCTGGAACCACTTTACCTATAGCTGCACAAACACTTGCACCAGCACAAAGGGAGGGAAGGAGGACAGGAGAGGCTCTAAACCGCAGCTGCTTCTTTCAACAGCTGCCCCAGATTAAAAATGATTCATGAAATTATGGCTGATAGCCGCAGACAGAGAAAAGTTTGAGAACTGCTCCCCAGTTCACCGTAAAGGCAAATAGCCTTTGGGAGACAATTAATTCTTTCCCACTTCAATTTTAATGGGGCCTGATCCCAGATTTTTTAGCACAAGGCTTGAAATACTGGGAATCACACTGGTTCCAGGTGCTTCAGGAATACCAACAATACTAACAGTGGCAAAGAGCCTGATCCTGTACCCAAAGCAGGCTTCGGGGGATTTGCTCTCGGCTTCGCTGGCAATTCTGTGCAAACGGATAAGATAAGAACTGAACTGACAAACGGCCAGAGTACATAAACATATTAAAAATCTGACTTTGTACTCAGCGTGTAGCACATGTCAAATACACATTTACATTGCATCAACACTGGTTAGGTTCTTCAGAACCTTTCATGTAAATATGAAAGGCTACAGACGCTCCACCAAAAACAAACTTACATGCAAATACAATTCAAAGTTTTGAGAATTTCTGTAATAATTTTGAAAATCATACTAATGTGTGCAGCTCTGTCCCAAGCAGTAGTTACCCACATAAAGTGGTTTGTGAGCATGATACTATCATCAAACCAACAGATCCAGTCCACTAGCTCACATAGCAGAGACCTGCAATTCTGGATCCTGATGCAGAACAGACATCTGAAGCATCAGCACCCTCTCAACAATATGGAACTCACGTGTGATAACTCTTATTTACTGTATAATATAGACAACAAGGAGAAAGCTGCATAGCGAGGCATTTTCACTTACGTGGTTTATATAGAGACTCTTGCGTTTTTCTCTCACTGCAAAAACACAAAATATGATAGAAATATTACATGACTATTTTTCCCGGTTAAGCTTCTTATATACTATTTATAACAAAAAGTACAGGAGGCCATCTTTGTGTAACATTACCATTGCTTTTGCGCTAACCAAGTACATTTCTATTTCAAAAACAGAAGAACATATATCTGTACTCTTAAAAGCATTTATGCTTGCTAGCGTGGTGATAGATTAAAATACTTATCTAGTCGGGTACTTCACAAGGAGTTGGTCCACATGGGGAAGTTAATATGCAGTAAGCTACAGTGTATTAGCCATCTGTCACCGGTTCTCTGTGTGGATACTCCTGATGGACACTGCCAGTGCCTGCCTGCAAGGTACCTCGCTGCAAAGTGGCCTGTACTACCTTGCAGGTAAGAAAGTACCTAAAATAGCTACACCATGGAGTTAGTAAATTCTCACCATAGCTTACTGTGCACTAACCCCCATAGAGGAGCCTTAAGAATACATGCATTAGACTGCTGCCTTCTACAATGATCGGGACAATCCTGAAACTACTATTCATATTTGATGTAATAATGAAAATAGTATTACTGTGTTGAGTAAGAACTAGTGACCACAAGTGAGGATTGCAAGTCAGATCCACAGTTATTAGCCAAAATATTCAGAAGTTAAACAGCAGGATCAAGGGAGAGGTTTAGAGTCTTAATTGTCAGACAAATGCTTATTACAGCTGATTAAATATACTCTATTTGCTTTCTTAAAAACATTTTCCCAATTAACTCACCCCATAGAGAGCTCTGTTCCAGGGAAATTACCACAGCATTTAAGCATACAAGTCTAGAGGCAACTAATGCATAAATCAAACTGCGGGATTAAAATAATAATGGTTTCATGCTGCAGGTGATTAAATGCACTTTGGTGTACTATGATTCGAAAGCTATATAACCCAACGCGCTTAGCAAAATAAGAGTGTTGGCAATGGCAGGATAGCCTGTCCATTCCCTGTTGGATGAGAAGCCGTTATTTGTGATTTTTATAAGCAAGCAATCTCACATAAGCAAGGTTGTATGTGTGAATACTGTGAAATAATTGTGCTTAATGCAGACATAAAATGAAAATAAAATAAGAAAAAACGTTTTAAAATCCTTACATAATTTTCCTCCCAGGGAGCAGAAAGGAGAATCACACATGACAAATGTTAGCCATGTCACTTAGTACATGCTCAGATCCACATTTACGGACATTGTATAAGAAAGAGAATTAAACAGGAAGAGCAGGAAAATTCCAATTGTCTAGTAAATAGTTAAACCACTTGAAACCCTGCTGAAACAGTGCACTACACTTAAGATCCACACACTGCATTTTCCGCAAGCAAGACACAGAAGTAATCTAAAGGGAAGCAGCATACATAATGATGGGAAGTGCTTAGCTTCTAAGAATGGCCAGAGTATTCTCCTAGTATTGCATGCTGCCACGTAAAGGCAGTAAATGATTCTAGTAAGCTGCATGTAAACTTAGTAAAGCACAGAAGTGACAATTAACAGCAATTAACTGCTAAATCTTGCGCACAGTTAAGTATTTAATATGGAATTCATTACATAAGCAATCATACTGCATACAAAATTATTATGGTCAAAACCCTAGGAACACAGCCTGCACATGTACCCCAAATTCTATTTTTAACTAGGCTGTTTTCCCTACCTCAGCTTTTTTCTCTTCCATATTTTCCCTTGTACCTACTACTTATCCAGCTTCCTGTGAAAGTACAGTTATCTACCAAAGCAAGAATATCACTCACAGCTCATTCCCATTTACTATTTCCTACCTCCAGAAGAATATATTTATACACGTCCCTCATCTCCCCTGTTCAAACGCCATTTGTGCTGCAGCCACGTTCTTCCAAGCACCCTGTTAACCTGCTTTCCCCTGTTCTTCCCATATAATAGAAATACGGTTAGCCCTGATTCTCCAGTGAGGCACTGCAAGAAGCCAGCTGGGCTTTCCTGCTTCTGGACCACTCTGCCATAGCACAAGGCTCAATTTTTTTTCAAGAAACATATGTTGATGGGGAATCAGCCATAGCAGAAACCCATTTTGTCACAACTGTTCTCTGATGCCTTTCTCTGATCACAGCAACCCCCCCCTTGAAACAAGGGCTGGCCAGAAAGCCACTTCTGCCAGCTTCCCACGAGCAAAACTACTGTAAAGAGGAAATTCTCTGCCACTTGACTTCAGTCGGTTTAGAGACATTTTGTGCTGCTCGCACGGCACACTATGGTCTTCAGCAGACCACGGGATGTAGCTTTATAATTTAATTAACCAACATTTTCTAGCACAAATTCCCAACTGCAACTCCAGGCGTTTGGCTTCCAAGCATGGCCTTTTGATGAAATTAAGCTGAACAGATTTCAAGTCCCAGTGTAAACAATTAAATGCAGAAATTTAGATTTTCTTTCTAATGTTTTAAAACTTGGAAGTTGGAATGGAACTCAAGGGGATACTGAGATGTAAGATACTGCCAAACTTTGAGTTTCCCAATTTTAAGGTCAATGACCTATTCTCATTTTTGCAGCCACTTTCAGTTTTTACTGTTGAACTTTTACTACAGTAGGAATACATATTATCCTGCCATAAAAGGGAGTGGGGAAATGTATATATATGTATTTTTTATTGAGCTGTCATAGAAGTCTCCTTTGTGCAATTTCGATTAACAATCTTACTGTTAGCCTTATCAGGAAAGAAGGCAATATCCTTGTGGTAACAATTATATATCAATAGAAATGTCTCACATTTTGGGAATCTGTAAATGGTTTAGTTTCATCTTGCCTGAGAAGCAGGAGACTGGTCCTGGTTAACATTAAAAAAAAGTGCAACCTGCTCCACTTCTACCTACTACATAAATAGGTATTGCAAAACGCTTTTTTGTCTGAAGCACGTTGTTGCACTGATATTGCAAATTTTAGCCAGTAAATTCAACCAGTAAAACCTCATGCAAGTTAGGAAAAGAGGACAGCTGTATCCAACTAATAGAAAAGGCTATTACCGGCACCCTGAAACAACAGTCACTGTCCTCTTGCTATTGCAAGGAAAGGAAGTTATCTTATTGCAGTGCTTCGGTTTTGAAACCCTGTCTTAACCACCATCACACACTAAATAGTGCAGGACTTCTCAATTACCTTGTCCATCCTGTTTACAGGCCAAGTTCAGCAAGCAAGGGAAAACTTGATCATAAAGCATTCACAGACATTAAAGACATAAAAGGTGATACTATTTATTAGCTCCTTACACAGGAAGAATTACTCATGTAATATTTAGGACCTTGAAAATTCCCACAAGAGACAGAAACATTTAGAAAAGCTATTTTAGGTAGGAATCCAATTAAACTTTTCTTCAGATTCACTGAACTCTCAAGTAATTAAGGAGGTACTCAGACTACCAGCTATGAGGGACAGGACAGATTAGATGCTTAGTATCTTAGCTTCACAGAAAAAGGAGAATACGCAATGCAAGTGCAGCTCCTATGCCAGGATAGTACCACAAGATTATCAGCAAGGCTATAATAGCTATAATAGTTCAGGGCTACTAGAAATCCACATGAGGAGCTGCCTGAATGCAACATTGCCAAATCACTCTAGAATGTAGTTGTGGACTTGGTGCTCTCCCACTGCAAAAATATGTCAGTGAACACTGAAGACATACTGTCATATCCTGGATGACACGTGCAGTCCTGGTGTCCCTCAGCTCTCCTGTGTATTTGCTGCAAATGTCTGCAGTTCTTGCCTACAGAAAGATTTTCATTTAGAAAAAGGCTGGCCATCCCAACACTATACAATACAGAGAGGTAGATACATGCCTAAATTAGGTGTTTTAAATATTGCCAGTTAAGCTCTCCCCTTCTTCACCGACTTCAGATGCCATGGAGACCACCTAAGGCTCCAGAGCAGGCTGGCAGAATACATTGCTAGGCACCAAAAGGACTCTTATACTTTCCCTGAACAAGCATTTTATTGCATTTTGGTGTTATGCAACATTCCTGAATAGCGTGTGATAACTCCTAACAGCTCACTTATGTCCACAATGGGCCAAAAGTACAGACAGGCAAAATAACGTTTGCAGGATCTTTTTTGCTCTTGTACAGGCAAGACAGCACTTGGATTTTTTTCCCCCACTGTCATCAAGGATAGCTGAACAGATTTTATATCCCTACTGATAATGTTTCTACAGCGTTTCACTGAATTCATTACTCTCACATAGCTATGTTCTTCATATTAAACTAGAATAAACTTTCATAGACATGGGTGCAAACTGTCATTTTAAAAAAATGCTTACAATTAATTTCATATTGCAATACATTAATCACTACTAATACAACTAAGTATAAACATCAGGTCTGGTTAACTTTTTAGTTGTTGGACTTTGGGATTTGTCATTTTTTCCAATAAGCTGAAAGGGGAAAAATGTAGCATCCATGTAATATTATAGTCTCAAAACACTATAAAATAGACATAAATTAATCCTGTATTAATCCTCATAATACAGTGTACAATGGAAATATTATGCCCATTTCACAGACTACCAGACCAGATCAAGATGGTAAATCCCATTCAAAACCATATAATAAGGCATTGACAGAACCAGGGCTGAATTCAGAGGGACAGTCTGAAGGGCAGAAGAGGTACTCACACAATCAACTCTTCGATGAGGGCCTAAATGTATCCTCTTTGTATTAGCTATGTTCAAAAATCAGCAAAAATATACAGTAAGAGAAAACTACGTTTTTTTAAAGTGATGTGCTTGACACTGCAATCTACTATGTAAATCAAAACCAGCATTCATAGGCAGCAGAAAGAAAGACAAAGAATTCATATTGAACCATCAGAATTACAATATAGAAACTGCTTTGAAAGTCTGGGTAGAAAATAATGTGTTTTGCATTGATTATTCTCATCTGCTTCTAAAAGAATATGTCATACATGTCCAACAGTGAATGAAAGAGCCAGAGTAAATGGCTTGCTTCTATTCTACTAACTCTATCAAGAGGTTTGCTTAAAAGACGTAATTCCCCAGGGACTCCTTTATCTATGAATAAAAAAAAAATACTCCAGAAAAACAAATGATTATATTGAATCCATAATGAGAGAAAAAGAGAGAATGCCTGGGTGGGAGGAGGTTGCTTTGTTATTAAAATCCACCACTGAGCTCATTTACAGTATGAGCTGTATTGGAAGAAACACTGGACTGTCTTTCTTAGGCGATGTAAACTGGCACTTGTTCAAGAATATATACTGAAAACATATTTCCCAGAAGCCCGGCCTATCGTTCAGAGTCTTAAAAAAACAGTTGCATAGAAACGTCTACATTTAGGGAAATTACTTTTTATTTTTAATTATACTAAACTTATTCATATTTTTAGTTCTGATACAATGACTTTTGGGATCTTATAAATCCAACCCATGACAGGACCATCTATTACTAGGTCTGATACATTAACTAACTAAAGATGTGGGATACCTATAAAAGCCTTTCACTTGCACCACTGATGTTATGCAGTGGGGAAGTTTTTCTGTTTTATTCTATTTTGGGGGGGGGGGGGGGGGGGGGAAAAAATTTTGAATTATATATTAAAAGACCTTGAAAGACTACTGCATGCAGACTATTGCATTCTAACAAAGGGTTTAGAAATAACTGCAAGAGGAATATTGTAATAAATTCAGTAACCTACCATCTGTTTGAGATTTACTGAGAAATATCGTACTGGCCCGTGGATGATCTGATGGGTTGAATTCCATGTTCAAATCTGGAAAAAAGAAAGAAAGTATAGTATGTTAAAACATTTATGATTAACCAGCAGTATACACAGATTTTGTCATTCTTTTTAATAAGTTTACATTCTTAAGCAACTTTTGTAAAACAAAATCAGTCTTGAGGCCCACTCTTTTTACACCCTTCACACAAGTGGCTCTTTTTGGCATGCAAATCATTTGCATCAACACAGCTTTGGGATTAGACTTCGGGTGTCAGAATTGCTTTTGGATTAAAACAGATAAAGTAGCTTTAGAAGTCTGTATACAAGAAGTCAGGAATTACTCATTTTTCATTAGTTTCTTCCACTCATACCCCAAAGCCATTGCTAAGCACAGGAACATAGCTTATTATACGTAATTACAGAAGTATTGTAAAATAAATATGCAGCCCTCCGTAGAGAAATGAGTTTCCATGAATAGATATGATTACAGTAAGTAGTTTTACTGCAGCTGAATGTAAACAAGTTAAGTCCAGGCCAGAGTTTTTTAAAAGGTCAAGATTTATGAAAACTTTAAACTTTTCTGACACTTCAGAGACGGACCTATTTCTTGCTGAGACAACTTCTAAGAAAACACTCCTAAAAAAATACGCACCGGGTTAAAGAGTCCAACCTACAAGAGCATATATAAAAACGTCCATGAATGTTCTTTCCCCTATCAAGATTAAAATGCCTTGAATTTACTTGTTCCCAAATTCCACTCCACTACCAGGTCCTCAAAATCCTTATATGCCCCTGCCCACTTGAAAGCATGCTGCTAAAAGCACCAGGTCTTTTTGTATCATTTTGCTTGCTCCCCCAGTGTGGCTATTTCCACCTTAGTTCTCCTGAATTCTCTTTATCTCTGCATATACTTTCTTGTGCATTTGATATAGACATTCATGCTTGTTTCCATATGAGCATTGATACCTTCGTTTTAGGTGATTACCCTCTCTCTGTGCACTTCTCTTTCTCTCCCTTGCCGTATCTCTATGAGAGCTCAGCAAAACTGCAAATCACAGTTCGGCTCTTACCAAAACCAAACAAAAGCTTTTTGCCCAGGGGACAAGTCCTGCCATTGACAGCCTTCCGTCTCCCTTCACCATCTTCTCTTCTTCCTTGCCCTTTCACTTACAATTTTACTGAATCTTCCACTTCCCCGTTTTTTCCACCTAAACACACTGCTAACAACCATAAATTTGTTTTCTTTCTGCCTTATTCCCCTTCATGTTCCCGTGGTTTCTTTTCCGTTTCCCTGTACTCTGCAGCCCATGAGACAAGCAGCGTCACAAGGTGCTGGTACCTGGAGCGAACACGATCTTCCCACTGACAAGGACTCATCCAGAAACACAGACAAACAACAACTCCTTGCACGGACTTCTTTTCCTTCAGTTAGAAAGGGGGCTTATTGATACCAAAAACCCCAAAGGAAAAAAAAAAACCTCTTAGAATTACAAGGGAAAGTTGCTTCGATTCTCCCAGAAATCATGACTTGCAGCCAGGCTTGCACAAGACTTTAGGAAGGCCATCTAACTACTACAAGTTTTGACTTGAAAGGACGGTGATTAAAAATAACATTTCATTTTACTTTCTGCACCTTACTTGGAATCGGAGAAGGAAAAAAAACACCCAATGAGATGGAGAGTGCAGATAATGATTACTCTTTATTTCAGGACAGTTTTCTATAAAGTTGAATTCATTAATTAAAGAGTATCAGCATTTTAAAACAGCAAAGCATATCATCTATTACCATCCTCTTCATCTTTTATCAAACAGCAAAATAGATGACGGTATATTTTTAAAAAAAATTTTTTTTTTTAATCTCACTGTAGACAGTTTTTCCATAAACTCCACAGTACAGCAAAGCAAATGCAATCAACAAAATAGGACCGGTAATGTGAAACTGGGCTCGACTTTCAAAACGCTGCACCTAAACAGTCAAGCATTTATCTCCTTCACCTCTAGAAAAACACCTGCGGGGGGAGTAATGACAGCCTGGTACAGGTTTACAACCTGCTTGGGGCTGAAAAGAAAGAGAAACTCATTGCCACATCTTGCAATCAAGTTGTGCCCACGTAGGATTCCTGCATTATTAAAGGCTATTACGCCGAAGCAATAACACTACTGATGACAAAGTCTTTCTACAAAAACATGGACTATCGAAAAAACACTGGCTCAGATGAACTGTTATTCTCCTGGCAGCAGCTGAAGGGGACAAGGTAAAGGAAGAAGCGTCCATGGCCGGGGAGCTGAATCTCAGTGCCAGAGAGGGCAGCTGCGGGGTCCGACTCCTCTGCAAGGTGCCACCAGCAGCTGCCATTCCCACACTGAAGCATGGGATTTGATTGAAATCAAATAAGATTTCAATCTCTAGTTGATCTTAAGTAAGTAATGTCTTAACCCACTGTACAATTTGAAAATAAAGGCCTCTCTTAATTTGTCATCCTTTTCTTCCTTACAAATCTGCCATTAGAAACAACACGACAGGGATTTAAGGCTAGAAGAGAACAGTATCAGATGATACACACAGATAGCTGAAGTTACTAACTCATCACCAAAGGGCACTATCTATCAGAAAGTTTCCTACTGCTTCAGTGTTATTAGTAGTTCTTCCTCACATTTCAAAAATGTCACCAGAAAAATCACTATATGAAAGGCCTACCCATTTTGTAATAGAATAACTGAAGATAAAAAGAGATTTAAATTCAAGTAAGCAGTATGCAACTATTAGTAGGAGAAAACATGGGAGCCAAAATTGCTGCGACTGAAATCTGTACCAAAATTTTTCCATTGCTAGCAGTCTGCTCTGTAACTCACCATATCCTTACAAAAGAAAGATTTAAAGTGGATAATATTTCCAACAGCTACTCTGCATTCCAAAATCAGCATCTAAAAAAAGTCCCTATCTTAGGGATAGTCCAAATCAAAAATCTTTCACTACAAAATATATTCCAAAAAATATTGGTTCATGAGTCATAAGCTTGTCTACTAATTTCAGACTCTGGTTTCAGACTTCCTGTGAGCCATTCGTTTACTTAAAAAAATGACAAGACAAACGATAATTCACTGCTACAATTTATACAGTAACTCAGTGTCTTAAAATAATTTAAAATTATAATAGTTATAATTAATAATAACGACAGAGAACAATAAATTATTAATATTTAACCTTTCTAGATGCTATTTACATGTAGAAACTAGCTATGCAAGTTCTGAAACGTTTCAAAAGCCCGTGCCAACGATAACAACTATTTCCATAAGCTGCTTAAGTAAAGGTAATTAAACCTAGAAAAAAAGTTAGGAAGAAAAACATGCTTCCCCCCCCCCTCAATATGATGCTTTGAATACGGACATCACAAGTTGATTGCATGCTGGGACATACCCCTAACCTGCCCAGTCCAGTTCCCTGCCCACAGTTCCAGTTCCCTGTCCACAACGAGCATCTCAGCATTTTGGAGTATTTTGCTTCAGACACACAAATAGCAAAACAAAAAAGTGCCCGCAAACCATCTCCATCGGCCACCACTGAGAGTACAGTTTGCTAGACTTTATTTCCTTCCAGGACGCAAACCTTTATTAGGATATCATCTGTAACTTAGATGTAGACTTCAAGATTCCTAAAAATTTATGATTCTCATACAGAAGTCTTAGGACTGATCTTTCTGTACTGGAGCTAGGTGGAGTTCTGCTACAGGCTCTGCTGACAACAGCTGATAGCCTTAAATCGCACTATATAGTGAAAGGTTAAATAGACTAGAAAATATTTTCCATGATCTTTGTATAGTTCAAATATCAATATCTTTTTCTTTTGCTAGTTCTCAAGGAGTATCCTGATTTATCATGTCAAAAAAAATCATTAACTCTGTAAGAAAAAAAAGGCAGATTTTTGCATTTAACTTAACGTGGAACATGCATAACAACACTGAAGTTTAACTATCAGAAGACCACAATGAGATTTGCCCTGGGCGCTGTGAATCTCACAGTTCCTAAAGCCACAGTAGTTACATTCAAATATGGCCATAAAAAGAAGAAAGTCGTAAAGCATTTCAGGCTTGGAATAAGCCAGTTTCAGACTTGGAGTAAAGCCCAGGCTAGATTTTTGATTTCAAAACAAGATTTTAAAAAGCATTATCAAGAGCGTTCCAAAAATACTGAATCCAGCTTCAGTTCTTACATTTTAAACAGATATGAAAAAAGTTCAGATGAGTGTAAAAGAGGGCTACGCAAACGGCAGGAGGTCTGGAGAAAATGCCCAAAAATGAGAGTCTTGGCAAGTTCAAAACACGTAGCTGATCAAAAGGAAAATTAAGAGGGGTCCATAGCCCACAAGTACTTTGACAGAGAGAGATGAGTAAGCGCTAAAAGCTCTCTAGCACACCTAACAAAAACCATGACAAGTAAAAGCAGAAAGAGTAGGGAAAAAAGGTGATTAGTCACTGAAGCTACCCAAAGAATGTGAACTCAACATATTTTGATATTTTCCTTTTCTAGAAGATTGTTTCAGCCAAGTATCTTTAGGCTTTAGTCAAGTAAGAGTTTTAGGCTCAATTTAAGAATGACTAGATGCAAGTTACTGGCTGACAGGCAGGTCAGAGCAGATGATGGGAGGGGCCTCTAGCCTAAATTCTACAAAACCTTCAAAAAAAAAAAAAAACAAACCTAAACTATTAAACACAAAGTCTCAGCAAAACCCAGTTATCATTCTGACACACTTGTACCCTTTCTAAAACTGCACCAGACTCGGCCACAATTTTTACTTCAGAAAGATCTAAGTTTTAAGCCTTAAGACTCACGGTCAGAATATATTATAGAGGATAAAGAGAGAAAAGGATGAGGCGGTGTCTTTCAGGACAAAATTTTAACCCCCCCCCCAAATTGTTTTTTCTTCAACTCATTAGCATATTGAGACAGAAGTACTGAGGCCGGGGAGGAGGAAGGACGGGTATCCGCTGCCCGGCACCAGCCGGGGAAGCCCAGCGCAGCCGCCCGCTTTCTCCGCAGCACAAGGGGGCCCC